TGATTTACTGAGGAGTCATACCCTCAGATGTTGCAAGCCGCATCCTAAGATTTTTACCTCTATTTTTAAATGTTTTCTTCTTGCAGCTTGAATGTACTACTATAATATTTTGCCTAGTAATGAATAATTGATGCCTTTGCTTATATTTTAAGTTAAATACGTTTTTATTAATGCTAAAACGTACAATTTAGACGTATTTCAATGTTTAAAACTTACAAATCGCTACGTATTTTTAGCTAAAAAACGTAAAAATATTTACGTATCTTTTATATCATCAAGATATTCGTATCAATGCATTTTTATCATTTTATCAATAAGCGATTTAGATTTTTAGACCCCTTAAGTTACCCCCAAACCTAAACCTACCCATTTTATAGCGAATATGCATTTTTATCATTTTATTAATACGCAATTTAGATTTTTAGACCCCTTAACCTACCCCCAAACCATCCTACCCATTTTATAGCGAATATAAAAGGATATAAAACGCAAATGACCGAAATACGCAGGAAAATAAAAATTTTAGTAACAATATAGCATCAAAATATTTTTATAGTCTCTAATCCCACTCCTACTTATAAACCTAAACATTTCTGTACAGTATAAGAAAAACATGACAGACAGATGCCATTACAATCATTTATTTATTGCAAAAAATACGTCAGTTTTGTACGTTTAAATGCTGAAAATACGTAAGTATTTGTACGTTTAGAGGCTGAAAACACGTCAGTATTGTACGTTTTAGTGCCTGTAAAAACGTACGTAAATGTACGTTTTATAGAACCACATTTTACGTAAAATACATACGAATTATCATGAGATCACGTTGGACAGAATTAGCCTTTGTACAGAACAATAGTTTCCTACACATACATGATGGATCCTGGTGTATTAGATAACTACATACTTCAGAGTGAAGACACTAGTTTGTAGCCTGAGGATCAGACAGGCATTCAGATGAGTCTTTTTGCCCAGTCTTAAAACTGCTTAAAAAGCAGATATGAACACAGTAAAGGTCAACTGTTTATTATTTGCTTTATTTTTGGAAAATCTGTCTTGTGAAACCAAGCATCTATTAGTGTAGTAAATAGTGAATTGATGACTGTGTGCTGTAGCAAAGTTTGATTAATGGACTGTGATGATACAGTACATGATTTTGTATATTAATTCATAACTAAACATTGTGGCTGTGATGGAAATGTCTCTGTGCGGAGATGTTGATAATGATATTGTATGGAAAATAGTTGCACATGATTTATATCCTCAAGAAAACTTTATCCAACAACACAATTGGCCCCACCCACAGGTATTTGAGATTTGGAGATCCTTAGCATAATCTCTAGCAAAGCCTAAGATTTAGTATGTATATTTGTGTACTGTTGTGAAAAAGCTACCAGCTACTTTATAGAATAATTAGCAAAGATATTCTGCCTAGTTACACAGGCTATTTGGCAAAAGTTGTTTGTTTATTTATTTATTTATTTGAATTCATAATTTTTTATAGTTTTATGAACCTTTAATTGTTTTAAGTGTGTGAAAAGTGTTTATTCACCATGTTGATAAAAAAAACCATAAAAACTGTAATATTATGAAATATTATTAAAAACTGTTCTCTATTTTAATAATTTTTAAAATGTAATTTATTCCTGTGATGAAAAGGCTCAATTTTCAGCAGCCAGTCTTCAGTGTCTCATGATCCTTCAGAATTATGAGAGAATTATGAGAGTTATGATTTTTTATATTTTTGTGAAAATATTTTTTTCAGGATAGATGAATAGAAAGTTCAAAAGAACAGCAATTTTAATGCACCCTTTCTGTATAAAAGTATTAATTTTGCCACATGCATTACTTTTCAACCCAAAATGATTTTTCTTTCATCATTTATTCACACTGTTTCACACTTGTATGACTTTCTTTCTTCTATAGAACACACATAAAAATAGGTTTTATTGGTGAATATCTTATAAAAACTAAAGGAAAAAATTGGTTTCAAAAGAAGAAAAAGTCATACAGGTTTGGAACAACATGAGGGTGAGTAAATGATAACAGAATGTTCATTTTTGGGTGAACTATCCCTTTAAAAGTTGGCTACGGATTGTGTTAACTCTACCCAACACTGACTGGGATATCAAGCATTTTTAATTCTAATTAGCATCTACACTTTTGATGTGTAGGGTATAATGTATTGTGAGAAAGGGTTGCATCCATCAGTGTCATTTATAAAACAAAAGCCTTACAGAAAGGAATGGAGGGAGAAAGGAGGACAATAAGAACCAGGAGGAAGGACAGTGGTGCAAAGAATGGAAGACAGAGAGAGGGGGAATCACAGACATTAGTAATCATAAAGAAGGTGTCCCTGTCATGTCATCCCCCCTCATCTCGTTAGCTAATGAACTCCACTTACACGCTCTCTTGCACAGCCTCTGCTTTCACAGATCTCCTGGCACACTCTGAAGTCAGCCTCAGGGGCCTAAGCCCATTCTAACATATGTTTGTAAGTGAATTACTTCTTATTACATCAACAGGTTGTGCGCATTGTAGGGGACAGCATGTCAGGTCTTCATTTTACCCATGAGTACCTAATATAGCAGTTCAGCAGACACATCTGGATTTCAACCAGGTTCAGCTCTGGCTCAGGGGACAAATAAGGTCCATAAATTTCGTGATTTCAGCCCTTTTAAAATTAACTGAGTCTCAGCGGCGGCCCAAATATAAGGCCTATCATGCCAATGCTTTAGTTTGATTGAATTTCTATACTGTGAATCACTGAGGTCATATAGTATAGCTCTACGAGCTGATGTCGAGTGGACTACTGAGACTCTGGCGGTGTAATGGAAATCTATAGTCAGACCAGACTGCCTCACGGAGATGGCCACACAGCGTCTTCGTGGTAGACAGGCTTGAAAAATGTAGGCCGAAGGCAGCTTGTTTGCAATCCAACTTTGACGCTTCTATAAATATCACTCAGACAACAGAAAATCTATTTGCTGAAGGCCACAGTCTTTGGATTTCTGTTTCTGACCTTGACACTTTTGACCCTTTAGGGAAAACAGAGCGTGTGAGCTCTGATACGAAATCTAGGGTGAGTCTGAACGGCATTTTGGAGTCCTTCAAGGACACTACGAGAAGGGGACACAACCTGAAGGGTTGTTCCAGAACAAAAGTGAGCAGCTGAATACTTTCACAAAAGGCCCTTTTACAAGGCTGTTAGCTAAGGGCACATGTGATGGTCACTTTGAGGAAGTTATTTTGTCATTTATGATCACATGGTCCTAAGTGAATCACGTGTGTCCATATTTTTTTTTTGCTTTACCCAGTGCCGCATGCATGAAGAGAGAGTGCACAAATCTAAATAAATATGAAAACACAAATAGGCAATATTTGACATTTGAATAAATAAATAAAAATGCCATAGTAAAAAAGTAATATATTTAAAATTCATTTATTTCATACTAAGTATAGTTCAAATAGCATATTTACTGACATATCGCTCAAGACTTACTGATATAAAAATGTTTAATTCAACTTTATTTGGACTACTACTTGTGCACAATGCACATTTCTTAATATTGAGCCTAAAATCTGTAGTCACTATTGATGAGAATTGTATGATATTTGAATAATATCACTCTTTAAATGGAAGATATTTAAAGTGTACTTGAAGTATACTTGCAATAGTTCCACTTTAGCAAAAATCAAATATACTTCAGTGTATCTTTAGTCAGACTACAGCACTACTTCCGCACAATTAAAGTGCATTAAGTATAAAATTAGTTGTTCCAATTTTGCAGACTTTAAGTATTGTAAGTATTTTTTTTATTTTACATTTATTTTATATTTATTAAATTAATTTTTTTTCTTTAAACAATAATGAAAAATTGTAATGTAAATATATATTTTTTTTTTTTTGCCTGATAAAATTAACTACTAGCCTAATTATTCTTTTTTTACTTTTCCACAGGACTACACACTTACCATGTATTTCCAGCAGTACTGGAGGGACAAGCGACTCGCATATTCTGGGATCCCTCTCAATCTCACCCTTGACAACCGGGTAGCCGACCAGCTTTGGGTTCCTGACACGTATTTCCTAAATGACAAGAAGTCTTTTGTCCACGGTGTCACAGTGAAGAACCGCATGATCCGCCTGCACCCGGATGGCACAGTTCTTTATGGATTAAGGTGAGAACTGATCCCATATCTAGAGCCATCAACCAGTATTGCTTGTTTTGCATTTTCATTTTCACCTGTTTAATTTTTCATTTCATTTTTACCTGTTTTTGATGATTAATCAGCTTTGGATCACTATTAGATATACAGTAATATGTCAAATAACCATACAAACATCTTAAATGACAATAAAATACTTTAAATATATACTTTTAAATTTTTTTTATGTGATAAATTTAATAATTTATTATTATGTGATAATAAACTGATCCCATATCTAGAGCCATCAACCAGTATTGCTTGTTTTGCATTTTCATTTTCACCTGTTTAATTTTTCATTTCATTTTTACCTGTTTTTGATGATTAATCAGCTTTGGATCACTATTAGATATACAGTAATATGTCAAATAAACATACAAACATCTTAAATTACAATAAAATACTTTAAATATATACTTTAAAAAAATTTTTATGTGATAAATTTAATAATTTATTATTATGTGATAATAGTTTAATAAATGGTAAATTAATGTATTCTTTCCTTACAATGGAGATTCTTTTTTTTTTTTCTAAAATCTACCTTTCACACAATTTGTTTGTATTTGACATTTCAACTGTGGGAAGAGTCTGATAGTACGCAGCTTCAGTGGACGCACATCGTGAGAGCGTGCCCTATTTTGGTCAGTGCACTCGCCTACTAAATTGCACAAGTGTTAATGTGTGCCTTTATCTTGTTAAACCCCTTTAGTGTTATCAGACACTGATCCTAAATGAGCTGCTTTGCTCGTTCCCATGCGGAAGAGCATGGGTATGCCTTCATCCTCTGTACCAGCTGGAGTGCTCTATGAGCCAGTTACCGTAGCCTAATTTAGCCTTTCGTTTTGTTCCAAATTAGATCCTGTGGACTAATGCAGCCATATGCTAATGTATGGGTCTTGCTTATAAAATTTATTGAACCAATTCCGTCTTTTTATGATTTATCTCCTTTCGCTCGAATGGAACATCAGCAATCCATTGAACATTATTTTACAGTTCATCTAGGGAGTTCCCTGGTCATATAACACACACTGTAGTTTGACGAAGTGATAGTGAGGATAGAGGGCTTTTATTTGTTTGCCTGAGCTGGACACCATTAAAGAAAGAAGAGCCTGCATATTTATGGTAAGGCATTTGAGTATGCGCTCATTAAAGCAGCTCTGAAGATGGAATGAAGACACTGAGTTTCCTCCTTAATTTACCCACTCTAGGAAGGAAGGACCACAGAAACATAGTAACGACCCACTTCAAACCAATATTATATGGTTTGAGTGTGTAATACAAAGATAAAAACATTAAATAAAAGACTGCTTTAGTATGTTGATACTTGAAAATATAACTGGAGGGATAAAAAACAAGTAAACAATTTATTTGAATTTCAACCCTTAAATGACCTGTCCAGTTTTTTATGTGTAAAGGCACAATCAAATTAGTGAAACTTCTTTGAAATTTCACAAGGTAAAAAGGTACATTGTCCATTATCAGTAGTATAGCGATGCATAAACCACAGTTTAATGTGCAGTCACATTGGCGAAATTTCGCAGACAAAACAGGTCCATTGTCTCTAGTCAATGGACCTGTTTTCTCCCAAGAAAATCAGGTCCATTGACATTGACTGTGTCAGACTCTGTTCCGTGTTTTGCTCCCCACGTGTTCCTTGACCTAGTTTTCCCTCATGTGCAATTATTGTTTCATTAGTTCCAGGTGTGTCTCATCATCTCCTCGTCATGTGTATTTAAAGTGTTCCCTGTTCTAAGTTTTGTCGTCCAGTATTGTATATGTCTACCTCCCCTGCTACGTGTGTTTTCCTGGTTTCCTTGATGTTATTAAAGTTTCCTTGTTGCTGTACTCCACGTCTCCTCGTTCCTCGCTCCGCGCTCCCTCACAGTAGTGAACGTGACAGAATACCGGACCACAACAGAAAATAAGCGGCGCCCCTTCTCCCCATTTTGTTTTCGTTTTGAAAGTCTTTTGTTTTTCTGTTTGTTTCTTCCCGCGGCATGGAAATCTCTACTCGTTTTTTTGCCCTAGCCCACAGAGATCTCCCCTTCGTGGAGTATGCGTGGGAGTTCAGCAAGATCACCGCTAGAAGCTCGAACTCCAGAACTCTCTGTTCTGGAGCGGGGCCAATTGCTATCACCCCGTGGACATCCCAGACACCACAGGACTGAGCTGGAGGGAGGGGATCCTCCGGTGTCTGGAGAGCGTCCAGCCCTGATCCAGAACCAGCCCGCCGTCAAGCCCGCCGGCCGTTTCTCAGTCAAGCCCGCCGGCCGCTCCAGTATTAAGTCCGCCGACCACGCCTTTCACCCCGAACATAACTAGGAATCTAAGGAGGAAAAGGCGGTTGGTTCTAGTCCCTAGGCTCGCTCCAGTGTTGGCTCCAGGCCCAGAGCTCGCTCCAGTGTCGGCTCTAGCCCCAGAGCTCACTCCAATGTCGGCTCCAGCCCCAGAGCTCGCTCCAGTGTCGGCTCCAGTTCCTGAGTTTAGCCCACAGAGGGCTCCTGTCCCCGAGTTTAGCCCAGAGAGGGTTCCTGTCCCCGAGTTTAGGGTTGTACTGTCAGACACTGTTCCGTGTTTTGCTCCCCACGTGTTCCTTGACCTAGTTTTCCCTCATGTGCAATTATTGTTTCATTAGTTCCAGGTGTGTCTCGTCATCCCCTCGTCATGTGTATTTAAAGTGTTCCCTGTTCTAAGTTTGGTCGTCCGGTATTGTATATGTCTACCTCCCCAGCTACGTGTGATTTCCTGGTTCCCTTGATGTTATTAAAGTTTCCTTGTTGATGTACTCCACGTCTCCTCATTCCTCGCTCCACGCTCCCTCACAGTAGTGAACGTGACAGACTGAGCCTGGTTTCTCTCAAGGTTTTTTTCTCCATTTCTGTCACCAATGGAGTTTTGGTTCCTCGCCACTGTCGCCTTTTGATTGCTTAGTTGGGGATGCTAAATTTCTGGCAATATTGTCGGCTTGATTGCACAGACACTATTGGAAGAGAACTGAACTTGATGATGACATCAATTGAAAAATGTGTTTGTAATTTTCCTCTTGCATTATTAATAAACTGCTTTGACACAATCTGTATTGTAAAAAGCGCTATATAAATAAAGGTGACTTGACTGGTCAATACAGTGAATTGTTGTAACCAGTTGTGAAATCTATGTGGGTAAATGTTTCAACTCCATGCAAACTTCCCAATGACGTGGATTCCTATTGAAATGGCTGGATTTTGTCTACAAAAATTCATGGAATAACAGTAAAAGTGACCACATTTAAGTAATGATGTTTTTCCAGGGCTGTAGCTTAACATTACAGAGCCTGGGACAAAAAATGAATGCAAGAAATTTGAAACCATTATAACCTACTAGTACCCCCTTGTTTGAAGTCCTGCCACAGTGGACTTTATGCCGCTTTTCCACTGCATGGTACGGCACGGAACGGCTCGGTACGGTTCCCTTTTGGGGGGGTTTCCACTGGGGACAGTACCTGGTACCTGGTACTTTTTTTAGTTCCAAGTGAACCGCACCGTTACAAAAACGTGACGTGTAAACTCTGCTGATCACGGATTGGCCGGAGAGAATCGTCAATACCTGCGTCACTGAACTTGCGCCACAAACACAACAGAAACGCTAGATTTAAATCAGCACAGCCAGCGAAGGATCGAATGCAACTGTTTTGAACGAGCGCACCTTTGTTTAACAACCAAAAAGTGGCTGTTTCGTTGTCTGTTGAGGAAGTACAGACATTCCTCTCGTTGATAGCAGAGGAGGGGATCCAGCGAGAGCTTGATGGGGCGACGCGGAATGAAAAAGTTTTTCAGGAGTCGCAGCAGTAGAGGCGGCGCAACTATAACGACGTGAATAATCCCGCCCACTCTAAAGCGATACTAAACTGCAGTGGGAACGCAAACCGAGCCGAGCCGTGCCGAGCCAAGTCGTACCATGCCGTGGAAAAGCGCCATTAGTGAGCCCCACTTGGTTGTACCCCTGACCACAGCCCTGCATTCGTCCAGATAAGATTAGAAGGATTGAACATAATCTTCCACTTACGATAGGCTTACTTCAACTGTTACCAGGAAGAGAAATCGATTCCTGGATGGTATCATTACCTGGATGAGAAACCAAACCTAGCTTTAAATTTTCATTGATATTGACTCGCGAAGAACATTTGTCATCACATTTTAGACTAAGCTCACACTTGTAGCAAAGTGACATGATGAATTGGACGAAATGAGATGTGGGCTTTCCTTGAGCTTTTTTGGAGCAAAAACTGCATTTTCATATATTCAAATCTGTACTATTTGTTCATGTCCACTCATCCATATGCATGCTCTGTGCTATATTTGGTTCAAAAGCCTTTTGAGGGGCAAGGGGAGGGCATATTTGAATATGCTCCATCTTGCTCATCTTGTTCACAATGAGACACACAAAAGTTTTGCAGTGTTGTTTAGCAAGTGCAGTACCTGCTGTATGTATAGATTTGTGGCTTTGATTTTTCTGTGACCTATGTGTGCGTTTCTGTGTTTCTAGAATCACCACCACTGCCGCTTGCATGATGGATCTGAGAAGGTATCCATTAGATGAGCAGAACTGCACTCTGGAGATAGAGAGTTGTAAGTGTTCTCTCTCACACCCTGCTGCAAAGACCAGCATATATTTCCATGCTGTTTCAAGCTGGTTTATACTGGTCAGTGCTAGTTTGGTGCTTTTCTCACTGGTGAAGCAGCAAAAATAAAATGTTTAGTATTACTGAATAGAATGTGTTATCTTTCTGAAATGCTGCTTAAAATAGTAATAATTATTGATTACGCTTTGACAATTCAACTTTATTATTCAACAGAAAATATGATATTACCATATCCATTTAGCATATACATTACCTTTTGGGGTCAGTATGATTTTTTTTTTTTTATGTTTACAAAATAAGTCTCTTTGCTCACCAAGGCTGCAAAAATGCAGTCAAAACAGTAATGTTGTGACATATTTTTACAATTTAAAATAAGTTTTCTATTTTAACATATTTTGAAATGGAATTTATTCCTGTGATGGTAAAGCTGAATTTTCAGCAGCCATTATTCCAGTATTCAGTGTCACATGATCCTTCAGAAATCATTCTGACATGCTGATGTGCTTCTCAAGAAACATTAGTTATTATTATTAATGTTGAAAACAGTTGTGCTTCGCAATATTTTTAAGGAAACCATTTTTTTCAGGATACTGTGATAAACAGAAAGTTTAAAAGAATAGCATTTTATTTAAAAATAGAAATATTTGTAATGTTATAAATGTCTTTACTGTCACTTTTGATTAATTTAATGGACTTTCCAAGAAAAAAATTTACTGACCCTAAACATTTGAATGGTAATGTTGCTCAAAATTAAACCTTTTGTGGTGATTATGAGGTACCTTTTGCTGGATATGTCATCTTAGTAGGCTGATTGTTTTGAACTGAATGCGTAATGGAATTTTAGCTTAGCTTGCTAATCAGTTAGCAGGCTAACTGAATGCGTAAAAATAGACATTTTATTGATTTGGTTACATCAAAAAGCTATATAGTAATATTTTCAACTCCAAATACCCCAAAAACAAACTTTACTCCAAGAGACTCCGCAGGATATTGAATCTTGCATGGCACCTGTAGTAAAACTCTGTTGACAGAAGCAGCATGTTTTGTTTATGCTTATTAACTGTGTTTAAACAATCAACTCTCTGTGGACTGTCACTTTTAATTACATCACTGCTGAATTTTTTAGTGGGTAAATTCACTTACAGAATATGGTAATCACTCCCCTAAATAACCCAACTTTAATTGTACACAGTGCTTCATATGCACACTAATAAAACCACCTAGCTCATTATGGTTTACAAACATGGCAATGCCGGTATGAAATGGAGCTGTCTGTGTCACAGTGGGAAATCTGACTCCTAACAGCTCCCCACACTTGTGCAAAACAGATGCTCATATGCATGATTATGCTAACAATGCACTTTTTTTTCCTTTTTTTTTTTTTACTTTTCAGCATATGTTACACACACTAATTATGGACAATAAATGCTATTTCAAGGAACCACATTTTTAGAATTGAAAAGAAGGGAAAAGTTACATTTTAATGTATGAAGCACTGTCTGAGCTCAGTAAATCTCCCTCTAAACCATGATTTGTGATCTTTGACCCAGTAATGTGTTGTTTACTCTTTGATTAATTTGATTTCTGTTTGTCCTATAGATGGATACACAACAGATGACATCGAGTTTTACTGGAAGGGAGGAGAAAATGCAGTGACTGGTGTGTCGCGTATCGAGCTCCCACAGTTCTCCATCGTGGACTACAAACTTGTATCCAGAAATGTTGTCTTTTCCACAGGTAAAATAGCAAGACAGGTTAAAATTATAACAATAATAATTTTATGATCAAGAACCCCATAAAATTCATACAATTTGTTTGACTCTTTTATTTGGCATTGTTTATTTAAATTATATTAAATATAATATAATATAATATAAGGTATACACTTTAGTATAGGGACCAATTCTCACTATTAACTAGTTGCTTATTAGCATGCCTATTATTAACATATTGGCTGTTTATTAGTACTTATAAAGCACATATTGTGCATGATTATATTCTACATCCATAATCCTACCCAATATCTAAACTTAACAACTACCTTACTAACTATTAATAAGCAGCAAATTAGTTTATTGAGGCAAATGTCGTAGTTAATGGTTTCTTAGTAGCAATAATTTGACCTTAAAATAAAGTGTGACCTAATATAATATAATATAATATAATATAATATAATATAAACTGTTTAAAACTCTCAGTTTATACTGTGCCTGCCTCTTTATTCCAAATGAAACATATGAAGTGACAAATTATTTATATTTGCAACCTTAAGGTCATGACCCCTTAAGATGCAAAGGTTTTTTTTAGCATTACAAAGCTGTACTTTTATATTAAATACAGTACGGTAAGTTGATTTGCTTGTGCTTAAAATATTATATAAAATGTCTACAACATAACCTGGATCCAAAAAAAAAAAAAATGAACTCAGTGTATTCCTACAGGAATTTTAGTCCTAAAACAGTCTTGTTTGCTAGAACTTATTTTATTATTTGTGCAAGGCAGGATTTAGCACAATAATTTGCATCAGGAAAGTCAATGAAGGGGTGCCCAAATCATTTGTTACAGTTCTTGTTACAGAGGCTTGTTAATTTTATAACAATAAAATTGATTAAATACTAAAAATAGTAAAATGTGTTGTCTTAAGAGTGTAATTTGCTAGTCATGTAATTACGCCTGTGATAAAGTGTATAGCTTAGTGCAGAGACATGGGTCAAAGCGGAAGGTTACAGGACATTTACTATCAAAAAAGACCCTGACATGAAGTCTGTCTGCACAAAATGTGCCATTAAAATGGTGTTTGTAGCATTTTAAAGCTCTGATCAAGCTGAAATTTTTAACCAAATGTATGTACAATGCAGAAAAGTGCTGATTTCTACAGATCATGCCTTTTTTGGTAACATTTTTCTGGTTGTACTGTTTTCTGGCTTCACCCTCACGAGAATGGTATTCCCATGTACCACTTATTTGAAAGCTGCCTAATTGGGGCCTGTGCATCTTTCTTCCTCATGGAAGAACAGACCAGTAATAATGGAGGAGCAATTACCACTCTATTTCCTCAAGCTTCTAAAGAGAAGAGCAGAGATGGAAGGGGGGAGAAAGTGAGAGATGGAATCAGAGAAGAGCAAAAACAGCCACTTGATACAAACCATCACATATTCATGAGGTAGAAGACCCACTGCATAAATTATTCTCTTCTAAAACTAAGGCATTCATAGAGGCAGCGCTGTAATGATTATTCCCCATCCTGAATTAATCACACATAGAAAGAGACTGGCTATCTTCTGCACATAGTGAACAGGATTATGGGAATCGTGAGGTTTTGATTGAGGAGGATGTGACTGTACTGCTGATGCCATGATAAGGTTTTTCTAGAAGAGGAAAAAATGTTGTCAGAATTCATGACTGTTTTTAATGGCTGTCAATAGAGATTTGACATCCATATTTGGGTCCAAATTGTGTGTAGAAGCTTCATCACCTACCAGCAGATGCTAACTGACCCAGGCTAGCCAGCCAAACCTTGACCCCTTGACCAGCCCAACACAGCAACATTAACTCAACCAATGCTGTGAGTTTAGGGGTGGGACTATCTGTTTCTCTGACCAATAGAAGATGAGAGGAGAGTTACGTAGATGTGTGTGTCTGTACGTATTTCATGTGATTTGTGTGGGAAGGTTTTTGTGAGGTACAAGTAATTAGTCTGAAGTATGTGTAGGTAGCTTAAGTTCATCACATAGGTTATGTAGCATGTTTTTATAGACTGTGATGTGTGTACAGGTTGCATAATGTGCATCTGTAGGTTGTGTTATGTGTGTAGGATGTGTGATTTTGTTCATAGGTTGTGTGCATGTTTGGGTGTGTATGTATATCTAGGCTGAATGCTTGTTAGTTGTTGTTTTTTTCACCTCCATAAATAACTAAGCAGAGATTTCTCATCACATAAGCTGCATGGTTCGGTGTCAGATCACTTGTGTATTTGTGCATCATATTGGTATTATAAGGCATAATGTGTTTAAATTAATTTCTGTTCCTTGGATTAATGAGTTGAACAGGGTTGAACAATTTACCTTTAACCCCTCAAACCCCTAACCCTAAAGGTCACATTAGTGAAATTTCTATTGGCTTTTGTCAATAGTGTCAACAGTGTAGCAACATTTCTAATCACAGTTCACACAGAAGTCACTTTCAAACAAAGCAGCTTTCTGTGAGCTTTCGCACGACCAACTTTTACATTGCTAAATTTTTCACCTCCACACAAAATTCCTAATTGTGTGGGTTCCTATTGAAATTACTGCATTTTGTCTGCAAAAATTCATCAAACAGTGGTAAATGTGGACAAACCTTAAAGAAATAGTTCACCCAAAAATGACATATTTCCATTTCAAAAAGGAAGTTTGGAGAGGATATTAATCTGCAGTAGTAGCATATGATTGAACAATCTCTGTAGTGCACATTGAGTAAGTTTTTGGTCCAATTTCCTGTGCATTTTAAATTCGTATTATGTATTTGTATTATTTTTTTCAACTCTTAGAAGTGTTCTATCGAATAAATGGCTTCAGAACTAATAGACATGCTCTACAAGCCATAAAAGTCGAGCTTTGACTTCACAGGGGGCTTTAACATTTAATGTTTACTCACTATTTCATTCTCTTTTCTTGTCTCCTTTCACACTGTGGTGTTTGTGCTCAAGGCTAAGCTACAACAAATCACCGATTTTTTTGTCCACGCTTGCCAGTTGCCATAGCAACAAAAGCTACCCATGCTGCCAGTGCTGCCAGTGTAAAATGTAAAGAATTCTCCAAAGACTTTTTGAAATAAATATCCGTCTTTTTCCTCTCTCGTGTCTCCCTGTTTTACTTCTTTTCCTCGCAGTCTTTGCTTCTCTTTCTCTTTCATATTCTTTATCTGTCTTTCTTATCTCTTTAACAGGTGCCTATCCTCGACTATCTTTGAGCTTCAAGCTAAAAAGAAACATTGGCTACTTCATCCTGCAGACCTACATGCCCTCAATCCTGATCACCATCCTGTCCTGGGTCTCCTTCTGGATCAACTATGATGCCTCAGCAGCCAGAGTGGCATTAGGTATGCTATTTATTCATTAGGATGTCCTGTATACAGCTGACAGAATGTATGTCATCTGTCGTTTCCGCTGTGAAAGTGCATGCTTTATTTAACAGTGCATTGTTGGATGTTCCAATAACTAGAATGCCAAAATTCGGTATTCTGTTTGAATTGCAACTTTTTCTGTACGCACGCCAGGTCTCTTCAGAGTCCTCACCCTCCCTTTGGTTTACTTTTTCTTGGATCTTGCCTCCAGACAAACACCGACACACACATATACACTCAGACACATACACAGACAGATGTTGTAGGGGCGCATGCATCATTTAACAAGGAACCGGGTAGACCCAGGTAGCCACAAACCCATTGCTTTTGACATACTACAGCGACTGCTCGCAGAGAGAGAGAGACTGTTCTCAGTGTGTCTTTGCTCTGATGTTGTTGTTCCAGAATGAGGAGTGACTCAGTTTGCCCGAAAGGCTACAGAACCTCTCCAGCTGCAGTGAGTAGCAGGACAACAAAAGCTCTGTTTCAAAACCAGCATAAACAGCCTTTTAAGGCACACTCCCATTGTGAAGGCGGTTCCAAATGCTGCCTAAATACTAAGGAAGGCAAAAATATATAAAATATAGCAGCAATATAATAAAAATGTACTGTTTGCATTTATATAGTATGTAATATTTGTGTGTCATGTATTTTTATACAAGGAGTGCTACATTGAAAACAATTTCAGTCAGAAATTGCTAGAAAATTTGACAAACAGTTGCAAAGAAATGAAAAGTAACAAATTGAATGAAATGTGAAATTCCTAGATAAATTGAAATATTTTCTTAAAACATACTAAAATTATTTTGCAAAAATTATTTTTTACAATGTATATGTGAGGCTAACTTACTACATTCTTCAATAGAGAGACAGTTCACAAATACACAGTGTTGCATCTCCAGCAGCAAGCTACTTTTTACACACACAAAAAAAATCCAGATTTGCTGCCGAGCCAACTGAGAAAATAAATATTCCTAAATTGTAAAATACCTAAACTGTACACTGTTTAAAATCTGATTCATTTTAGTGATTTAGTTTGTTTAGACATTTTTTATTTACCCATTTAAAATGCTTGTGTTACATTTTTACATGATTTTTGCACTGAAACACAAAATAATATTGTAATACTTATTACAATGTAGTAATATCCCTTTTTATATGTTAAATTGTATACACACACTACCATTCCAAAGTTTGGGCTTAGTACAATTTTTTTTTTTAGAAAATAATACTTTATTCACTTATTTCTTTTTTTATTTATTGCTTACTTTTATCAGCATATTAGAATGATGTCTGAAGGATCATGTGATTTCTGAAGACTGGAGTAATGACTGCTGAAAATTCAGCTTTGTCATCACAGAAATAAATTAAGTTTTAAAATATATTAATATAGAAAACATTATTTTAAATTGTAGTAATATTTTAACAATATTAATGTATTTTTTATCAAATAAATGCTGCAGGAGAGACATCTTTCAAAAACCTTAAAGAGCAGGTTATATGGTATTTTAAAGTGTCCTAATATTGTGTCGGAGTACCCTACAACAGGTTTAAATGCATCTAAGGTCAGAAAACATTGTAATTTTCTCAGAATATACATTTAATATTAGAGTCATTTGCCAATGATTTCGAAACGATTCGTTCCAAGCAAGTTCGGAGCAAACCCCTCCCTTCCATAAGCCTACTCTGCTCTGAATGATCAGCTGGCCAAGCCTGTTGTGATTGGCACAGAGAGGAGTCCTTGACTTGAGCAAGTTAGCGCGCGCTACCATTGACAAAGCACCTTTGCATAAAACAATAATATAGTGCTCCAATCCGTTCTTATAATAATGACATAAAATACAAAAACACTTATGCAAACAAATCGTGCTCACAGCTAAAGTTTAGCTGCTGATCTGTGAACACTTAAAACAATAATGGTGGATACGTTAGCCGAGTGCTAACGTGACTAACTGATGAAACAATACAGTTTGTAAACCAAAATATGTTTGAACACAACAGCTGTATCACAGGCGCACCAGCCTAACTAACTCGCTCGTCTCTCCCACATTAGCCCTGCCTATTTAGGCAGTTGACAGCAAGGCAGCTTTCTTGGTTGTGAAACAGAGCTACTGCGAGCGGCTTTTAAACTAAATTTCAGTCTCACTGCCTCCAGCCTACTCACTGCCTTTGTCGACAGCAAACTCAGAGCGTATGAGCTCAGATTTACACAAGCTTCTGCTGAAGAGACTTCAGTGCATGTACAATATTATCATCTGAGCATTTTTAAATCACAGGGATAGATCACAGAGCGCAGTACAATATTTTTTTAATCACATGTTTAATGTGTTGCGAGAGTGTGTTTGTTCATGCACCCACTCTTTGAGATGGGATGTGATATGTTGGATATGGGCCTTCTTTAGGGAAATTGTCCTCATTAAGCATGTTAAGCATACAAATGAGAACACTTTACACTAGGAGCTAAGCTAAATCTGTTAGAACCAAATTATTTATTTTAGAATGCACAGATATTGGGTGAAAGAGTCTGGTTTTAATTAGATAAGACTGAAAAGAATTGACCTGACATTCTGAGATTCTCAGATTAATGTTTAAATTTTGAAAGAAACTTTTGATGCTAACTGATGTCAAAATGAAGTGCACTACAGTTCCAAAGTTTGGGGTTGGTGAGAGATTTTTTTTTATGTTTTTTTTTTTTGTTAAATGTTTTTGAAAGTCTCTTATTTCAGCAAGGCTGCATTATTTTATTAAAATACAGTAAATATAGTAATATTGTGAAATATAATTAAAATGTACAATAGCTGTTTTCTACTTTAATGTATTATAAAATGTACTTTTATTCCTGTGATGGCAAAGCTGAATTTTCAGCAGTAATTAATTCAGTTCTCAGTGTCACATGATCATTCAGAAATCATTCTAATATGCTTGAGATTTGCTACTTAAAAAACTTTTCTTGTTATTATCGATGTTGAAAACAGTTTGCTGCTTAATATTTTTGTGGAAACCATAATACACTTTTCAGGATTTTTAAAGGTTCAGAAGAACAGCATTTATTTGAAATAATTGTAATATTTAAAATGTATTGTAACATTATAAATGAACAATTCAGTTCATCCTTGCTGCATAAAAGTATTAATTTATTTAAAAAAAAATCTTACTGCCTCCAAACTTTTGAATGGTAGTTTATCTTGGAAGGCAATGAATATATGACAGTAGTAGGTATGGGTGGGCAAGATGGTTGACTACTTGATCCAACAAAATCAATTACTGACATCAACTAGTTTATAGATTTAAAAAAATGTTAGTTTTAAAGGTGCAATAGGTGATTGTCTTCAGAAACATTTTTTGTTATGCTGGTTGAAAGTCTCTTCACATCCCGATAGCAATCATTAAATTAAGTGGTCTAAATGTATTTGTCTGTATTTATATATTCTGTGGAAGGTGTAGGATCAAGAAATGTTCGTCTAATCAAAACGTTCGGTCCGAGCGTTTTAATATGCTTTCCTACCTGCTTGTCAACGTATGTATTAGCATACCTCTGCGCACCCTGTTCGCGCAGACATGATACGTCATCAGCTCATTCTTGTACGCTGTGCAGACAGAGCGAGAATGCCAGAGAATCAACAACCCGATTTTCCTTCCTGGTATTGTAGTACTTTTAAAGATTTCTCACTGGTGAATGACACATGATGTAGCCCAGCGGTTAATCCAGTCCTCGCGCCAGCTCGTTAGAAGTGAGCTACGTGCATGAACTGTGTTCCGATCGATATGATCCCTACACAGTGTTCATTGCTCCCTCCTCCCTGAGCAGGGGAAATACGTTGATGTTTACTTCACTTCGGAACATGGGCTGGAATTGGGAACCTGATGTAGCCTAGTGTAGTAATGTTGTCTCTGGTCTGTGAGTGTAAATGTGTTCAGGGGGCGTGGCTTTGGATGGCGATTGCAGGGAGGGTGGGACGTTCGCTTTCAGTGCTATCAGGCTAAAGTTAGCATTTTCCAAGATCTCCTATTGCACTTTTAAATATTAAACAGCCACTTTTTGGCTCCCATTCAATAAAGTCCCCTCCTGCAGTATTTTTTTTTTTTGAATATCCTGTTTCACATGGACATATGTACTGTACATAGAAAATAACTGCCTAAAAATGTTACCAAGATGGCCGCTGAGTTACTTATTGTTCAAAGGAATAGTTGACTAAAACATGAAAATTCTGTCGTTAATTGCTCAACCCAATGTCATTCCAAACCTGTATGAAACCTGTTCTTTTTTGGAACACCAAAGCAGATAGTCTTCTGAAATCATATTATTGCTTTATGTGATTCTTGAAAAATCTTTCAGAAAGGTTTTGTGCACTGGATCAACCGATTTATTCAACATATTGAACTCAAGAGAACAATTCATTAATGAGTTGCTGCTTCTTCCAGGACAGATGTCAAGATTATTATTGAATATTGTATTATTTTGGTCTGTTCTTCACACAAAGCTTCATTAACCTTTATTTAACCAGGCAAGTCACTAAATTCAACATGTGACAAATCATTTTAACCACTTTTATAATACATTCATTGTATTTTTTGTCATTTTGGAAATTGACCATCCTCCCTTTCATCATATTGAAATGGGTGGCCTTCAAAAATTTGCCTTTTGTTTTGTACAGTAGACGCCGTACTGTACAGGTTTGGAATTACATGAAGGTAAGTAATATAAAGACAAAGTTTTCATTTTTGGGTGAACTATTTCTTTAAAGGAACTTTAACTAAATGCATCTGGTCAAAGTGCCTGAAAACAGTCCGAAAGAGATCTCGAGAGCTTGCCAATGTTGTGCATTTCACTTTCAAAAGTCTAACTCAAAAGAACGACATCCCACACTATTCACTGCAGACAGGTCTGTGTGAAGGTAGATGTTTGTTCTGGTTAGGTAACTTCTCTGCGCTGAACTCTGTGCAGAGCTGAGTTTGATCCTCCCTTGCTGTGACCTGGTCATGCACAAATCAATGCAGTGTGCTCCATGTACAGCCCTCTTCTTCACACCAGAATTCTGCTTTTGAGTTTATGTAAGCTAGGACAGGCATCCATCTGCCCACACATGTCCTCTCTCACTCTGGGGAACGCACTGTGGGAGTGAAGTGCCGACCATTTTCATTGGTCTCTGGTTGTTAAATTGTATTCTACATTCTAATATTCAACTCCAGTAATAAAGCTTGTGAATAAAAGGTCTAAGAGGCTAGACATGCTAATTTTAGTTGACTATTTTGTGCAGTTCTGTGACAGCTCACCTTTTTCTAGAACATTGGATGGTGGTATGTAAAGTTAATTCTGTGAGATTACATATATTTATGACAGATGGGTCATTTATTCTAAAGACCAGTGATTCTTAACCAATCTGCAACAACACTAGGGGTAAATATTGTTTTATAAAATTACATATAAAACAATGACTGTAAATTAGATAAATGTGTAATATAATATATACTTTATTCATGCAACGTTAAAAGTTATGGGTCAGTAGTTTTTTTTTTTTCTTGCATTCAATTGACCAAAAGTGACAGTAAGGAAATTTACGTTGTTACATTAATTTCTATTTCAAGTAAATCTGAACTTTCTATTTGTCACAAAAAAATGTGACACTGAAGACTGTAGGCTGCTGAAAATTCAGCTTTGCCATCACAGGAATAAGTTGCATTTTAAAATATATTAAAATAGAAAACAGTTATTTTAATTTGTAATATTATGTCACAATATTACTGTTTAAGTACAGTCAGTTTTGTATAATTATAACATTCACCTAATTTATAAGGCAAGAAAGCAGAACCTTATTTAAAAAAAAAAATAGTTTAGATGAAAATGTGCATTTAGACTGTATAAAGTCAGCAGACAAAAGTTATTGCATCTCTTTACTTGATTCATAGTGCTAATTTATACCCAGTGCAATTAAAAATTTAAATTAAAAACACTGTTAAAGAATATGCATAATGTATGTGAACGTAAAAGATGTTCACTTCAAAATTCTGTACAAAAATCACTTTATTCAGTGGAAAACCTGTTCTCTGCAGCATTAGGGTTAATGCTAAATTATTAAAGCCATTTAAATAGTCAGGAGACAAGAGAAAATAAGAAAAGCATGTACAGTCTTTTAAAATCCACAGTTTGAGATGTTCTGAGCAGTCAGAGTCTCGGTTGAAAAGTGCCTGGATTGTAATTCCAGAAATTGTGCTTAATGTAAGTTTAAATGTTAATGTGCTTCTGCTCATCGAGTCGAAACTAGGACATGGCTGCTTTGCAGTCAGTCGACGAGACCCTTTTCTCGTTAACGAGGTAACAGCATTCCTTAGGGAGTGTGAATGTGATGGAGACAAGATCCCTGTAAAGAACACTGCCCTGCACTAATTACACTTTAATTAGAGGAAAAACCCAAAGTAACGGTCTGTAACTTTAGTGATTGAGTTCTAAGCTAAGATCAGGCTTGTCATAGTCAGGATGTACGCTCATCACTTCCTTGTAGTTTTGCAATGTGGTTTGGAGAGGAAGTTGGCAGTTTGTTTGAGAAATTAGCTCAGCTATGATGGAGTCTTGCTGTGTTTGTTGCAAAAGAGGTCGGACCTTTGCAGGGCAACAGAAATATTGACAGTTTAATTTCTTGCTCCAGTCAGGCATATTCACAGTTATGTCCCACCACAGCTACAGCAGAGTCAGCAACATACACAGTGATTTGAGTGGCAGTGTTAACCGGGAGCCGACGTTCGTAAAGCAGATTTATGTCTAATCTGAAAATGAGATTTGCAGAAAGCTAGAACTACTAAATATGCAGAGCAGACGTGACACATAGGGTCGTGTTAAAGGGATAGTTCACCTAAAAATGAAAGTGCTGTCATCAGCCACAGAGTTACTTTCTTTTACAGAACACAAACGAATATATTTTGATGAACATTGGGGTTAAAAAAATATCTAACTTTATTTGCATGGACTAAAAGACTTTTTTCAAAAAATAAACTGTTTTTAACCTTGTTTGCACATAGACACTGATTTTTGTTATGACATTAAGGAAATCTTCTTGAAAGCAGCGATAAGTTACATCAAGATATGTCACAACTCTCAGACGGCAGCGTCCTCAGACCGCCCACAGTCTGTTCGCTGACCATCTGACTGATGCATATTGCTCACAAAACTGGAAAGCACTTTCTCAATCTGGCAAGCTCCAATCTGATTGGCTGACTTCACACAAGTCGTGGGAGTGAAGGCATGGAGGTTTTTTTTTAATCATTGTGCCTTATGAAAGTCATATTTACAAGTTACTCGGTTGATAAAAGCACTTTTGACAATAACATAATCGCTGGATTTGTCAAGTTAGTGGCATCAAATCTTACAAAAATATATAGACATTGTGGCACTTAGTACAGTCAAATTTTCTTAGACACAATGTCAAAATTTTCTGCTATGCTTCTCTACAAACAATATGGAATGACATCCTTTTTAATGCCACCAGTCTATTATTGAGGTATAGTCTTTTTAAGTGCTTAAAAACTGTATGAATTTGTTGGAGGTTGCTTTATATGTCAGTCATAGAGTCCTCTTACCTTATCTATAACCATCATTCCCCAAAAATCACCACACATGAATAATGAATGAATGACTTTGAATAATGACAGATTATGGCTGTTGTTTGGACAAAATTTGGAAAAATAATGGAGATATTTGGAGATAATGAAGTGGAAGTTTGAACAGTATATTTGTGTTCTCTTCTCTGTGTGTGTGTGTGTGTGTGTGTGTGTGTGTGTACATATCCGAGTGGGTGTTTGAGCAGTTGGAGTATTGCTCCTCTTTGAACTCACAGTGATAATGACTCAGGATTGACTCACACAATAAACAGAATAGAGTATCACAGCATAGAATCAATAAAATACATAGAAAATAGAAAAATGCTATTGACTTTTCTATTTATATAATATAATCTATAATATAAGACATTCTATTAAATATGAATATCGTTTGGGAAAGCTTTGGGGAGATGGAAGAAGACACTCAAGAAAAAAAACAACAACAACAGTGCTGGGCTGTTCTCTTCAGCTGTGGCCAAGCTGATCAGTCATGCTGTTTTATACCCTGTATGTTATTCTCAATTTCTCAGATCTGGCCTTGGTACAAATGAATCCAATATAATCAGCTAATTAGGTCAGTGCTCACATAATGCATAATATACAAAAGGTTACAGTGTTGTGGCTTTGTAGTGGCAATTAGAGGTTGGGAAACTGTCAGTTAAGGGATAAAACAGCATTTTATTTGGTTTTGCAATCAATTATGAAGTTAACCAGGCTTCTGCCATCATAAGTGGATTATTCATAGCTAGATTTGACAGTGTTGTGGTTGTGTAATTCCGTTTACTAAGCAGGGCTCGGATCTGGCATTTTAAACATTGTGACAGCACTCAATCTGTAGCACCCATTCTCAGAGTCCAGATTCATGGTGGGCGTTGGAACAGAGGTGTCAAATGAGAGCGCTTATATCCCTGGCTGAGTCCTCCCCTCAAATTTCAGTGTCAATGTGTTCTGCCTTCCATAAGCTTGTACTTTCAAATTAGTTACACTTGGTTGTACTGAGACTGACTGTGTAAACCTTAAAGTTTGCATGTACTTCATAGCCCATAGGTTGCAATGGTTAGCTCACTCGAAAATGAAAATTATGTAATTCTTTCCTAACCTTTGTGGTGTTTCTAACTCGTATGCTGTTATTTTTTCAGCAACATTATCAAAAAAAAATCTATTTTTTTTATTTTTGCTGAACTATTAAATTTATTTAAATATTATTAATAAAAAAAAATTTCCCATACAGGTATTACCACTGTGCTGACCATGACCACCATCAACACCCACCTAAGAGAAACACTTCCCAAGATCCCCTATGTCAAAGCCATAGACATGTATTTGATGGGCTGCTTCGTCTTTGTGTTCTTGGCTCTGCTGGAATATGCTTTTGTCAACTACATTTTCTTTGGACGAGGGCCTCAGATGCAGAAAAAGTTGGCTGAGAAAGCTGAGAAAGCCAATAACGACCGCAACAAGTACGACGGCAACAAGGTAAAAGTCATTATTATCTATTGCAATGCCAGTTTGGAGAATGACTGTATTGTGTGATAAAGAATTGAGCTTGAGCGTGTTAGATTTTTAGTTTTTTTGGTAAAAGTTTGTTTTATGATAGCTCTGGGGGATATGATACAATAGGATGAGCGAAGAAAAGGAAAAAACACAAATGTGAAGTTTCTAAGTAACGGTAATGAAGTTTATGAAAATGTTGCAATTAAAAAACATTGAAATTATTGCTGTTCTACAGAATTAAGTAACAATGCAACATCATTAGCTGACAACATGGCAAAATTAAAAGAAATAAATATTTGTAGCCTTCAAAATGCTCTGGACAATTTGTGGTAGTACTGTACAACACTGGTCTATAACTGATCAAATTAAATATAAACCATGAACCAAAAACATGTCCTAACCAAACATGATGTGACGCATGACAGGATTCTATTTTAGTAACGGTTTCTATTTCTGCAGTGTCGAGGCTGGAAGAACAACATACAGACAATGACAATGATAATCTCAAGTGCTTTATTTAATGTTAAAAGTATCTAAAATATCTTTGAATGTCATTTTGCGTGACCTTTATAGCCATGCTGAAAAAGACAGTGGATAATTTACCTCAGATCTAGAAAATAAAGGAAACACGAACAAACAACTGTATTCCATAACAAAGATTGTATCAGTCATTTAGTAGGTATATTTAATAATGTTAAAATATTTTAATATTTATGAATTAAATTATATACTCATCCATTTTGTTGCAAGTGCAGTGCGCTTGCAGAGAACCCGCCCACATGCTCTTGTGATTGATTTGTGATTGATTATTGATTGATTTGTGATTCGACAAATTGCTTGTTGCTGGAATCTTATCACATAGTGTCTGGTTAAGACATAGTGTGAATATGATCAAATTAAGCAACATTTTTGCTAAGCTATAAGCTGCTTCCACGCTGCACTTCGGTACAGTTTTGAGACCTGGAAAATGCTGCACTTTTTTCACTTTATTAAGTTTAAGACATCTCCTAATGATGAAAGTCAATATTCCTCATGCATGTTTACTCCTGGAATGTTGTGTTAGAAATATGGCCACTGTCATTTGCATGTGAATAGTTATGCAACAACAACATCCCGAAATGTGTCATTTTTTCTTTTAATCACACGACAAATTCCAGACTCAAGTTGAGATTTTTGAGGTTAAAAGCAGATGAAGAACAAACTCTTGTTTGTGTTTTTCTGACCAGTCTGTTCAGGAGGGAGGCAACTGCAAGCCATCATCTGTTAAACAGTCCAATCAGGTACAAGGCCACCGTCACTCACGAGGGGTGAGTGTGTGTATTGCTGACTGTTTTGTCAACATTTGTATGCTTCCTTCTGAAATCCTCCTAGCAACAGTTCCCTTTCATGGGAACTTCGAACTGCGTCCTCTAGGGGTCGCTATGGGGAACGCCCCGTCGTGACCCGTGTCTGAAGCATACATTGAAAAAACACCAACTCGTTGGCCGGCGACAGTAGGTTACTTATGTAACCATGGTTCCCTGAGTAGGGAACGAGACACTGCGTCCTCTAGGTTTCTTGCCATGCTGCGGATGCAAGCTTCAGACGAAGAAGTGAATGATGTGTAGCTCCCGTCGCCTATTTATACTATAGTCGCACCGGTAGTGACGTCATGGCTGTCGCCGGCCAACGAGTTGGTGTTTTTTCAATGTATGCTTCAGACACGGGTCACGACGAGGCATTCCCCATAGCGACCCCTAGAGGACGCAGTGTCTCGTTCCCTACTCAGGGAACCATGGTTACATAAGTAACCTGAGACGTTTTCCTCTCATTTACTGCATAACAGTGTTTCTCAACTGGTGGGTTGTATGTTTGTTCTCACAGCAAGGAAAAATAGGTGCATTAAATGTTAGAAAAATGCTTCCCATATTGTTAATATCCAAGACTTGAGTATTCAATGGTTTTAATCACTTGGTAGAAGATAGTCAGTTTAGATATAGATCTGTCTTCTTACTGTATGCATGAAATCATCAAAATTAAAAAAAAAAATCTTAAATTTGAACTTAAATGTATTTTTTGTACTATTCTATCATATAAATTTTGGACTTATTTTGAATTTTGCTAATGCAGTTCATGTAATGCCAATAAATTGCGATGTTTGATTTTAGAGACATTACATTTTTTGGTCATTGCTTGATATCCAATGTAAATCTGGGTCCTGATTCAAAACCAGTTGAGAATCACTGAAGTTCTTTTGTGCCATCTTGCTTTTGTGTCTTTGTTTTTCTTCCTTATTCATATGTAATAGTGTGACTTCTGGTCTAGTTGAAAGTTCAGCAAGAACCAGAAATCCACTTGTGATATTCTTCATTCAGTTGAACATTCTGGTTCAGTGCACATCATCTAGGCACAATGATATACTATACTCATGTTCTATTGCTGTTCTCTCATTCACCCCATCACAAACACTGTTCAAGATTACAACGTGTGCTTGAGCTGTAATGATATTTTTGCAAAAATGTATTTCTGAATTATTTATTACTGCAGAGACTCTGAGGTAACAGTAAATAAACAATTAATCTCACGGAGGGACCTCCTCTTGTGAAATAACCTGAACTTGTTTTTCAGTAAAATAGCAATTACTTCTATCATTCAGCATTTTTTCCCCTTGTTTCATACTGTTATTTTAATTAATCCGCATTAATTGTGTTCTGTGTGAGCACCATATAATAAACAAACTTCTTTTTATTGATTAAATAAGATTATGACAAATATATTGCTTATTTTAGGGCTCCTACATTGTCTAGGTTACATTACAATTTCAAACCTACACCTTATAGATGAAAACTTCTACTTTCTAATATGATCCTTGTGAGGTTACCAACTTGCGCAACTTGCTCTTTTTTTTTTTTTTTTTTAAAGTAGTCACATTTCAGCTCATTAACAAAACAGCCATTTATAACCTAAATATGATTTGAGATTACAATTGTACAACCTAATTATAATGAATATTACTTTTTGAAATTGTGGCTTGTTTAGAGCATCTCATTATCATATTTTTGCTACAATGATGCATTAGCATGTTGATGTTTGATTGTAAAATGAGTGCTGTTCAGTTCTGTATGCTATACTGGAGAGCCCAGCACTTCAGCAGTAATTAATGTCTGGGGCATGTGTCTATGGCAGTGCTTTACACATATACCATTATTATTATTCCTTGTGAGTATTCCATGTAGTGGTTACATAATGTAACTGAAGAATCTTATTCAAATGACAAGACTGTGATAAAATATGGCCATATAAAGCTAGTTGTCTTTTACTTTTGTGCAAAGAACACATGAGGCGCTCACCTCCATTGTAACTTGTCTTACTAACCACTCTTCATTGTTCAAAACCCCACTTTTTAAAAAAAATGCTTCCTTTTCCCTTAGAAAAAAATAGACTTGCTTTTATAACGTTTTTTTTAGGGCTTTATAGAATAACTTCCTTTTAATGTGACTGTTTGTTCTGTTCAAATTATTTAACCCTTTAAAGCCTGACAAGTATTGATCATGGCCTTAGAAATTTGCGTATCAAATATAATACAGTAGGATTTATGGAGTAACCAGGATTGTCTCTGCTTGCAGGTGGATTCCCAGGGAAATATCCTTCTGACCACCCTGGAGATCCACAATGAGGTGGCCGGGAACGAGATCACCACCAGCGTCAGCGAGGCTCGTAACTCCACTTCAATGGTGTTGGATAACTCAGGGATCCAGTATCGTAAACAGAGCGCAGCACGGCCTGAGGGCCGCCACAGCATGGACAGGAACGCACAGTCCAAGAAACCGCGGCTACGCAGACGCTCCTCCCAGCTCAAAATCAAAATCCCTGACCTCACAGACGTGAACTCCATCGATCGATGGTCACGGATAATATTTCCCTCAGTTTTCTCTCTTTTCAACTTGATCTACTGGCTGTATTACGTGAATTAGGCCTGAGACGTCAATGGGTTTTTTTGCCCCTTCACAATTTTTTCATGTTGCCAAGTGGAAAATAGAGACTTTTTTTTTTGCTCTGGCGTACTTTTAAGGGACGTACTTGCACGCCATATATATATATATATATATCGAGGTTTTTCTACAACTGAACCTTTGCGATGTTGTGAAGGGTTCAGAAGGAATGCTACCTGCACCAAAACCCATTCTCATATACAGTACGTATGTACTCAAACATTCCCATTCACACATGCACAAAATCAGTTTTCTAAAGACTATCTCTGTACATACATGTTGCAATTTTTGAAGCCACAGGACTTCCGCATGATGCACTCAGAACTGTTTTTAATTTGTACATGTTGCTATGTTATTCCAATTGAAAGATGCTAATTGCAAATGTTTCATGCCAATAAGTCTTTATTGTTGGAGCGCAGGAGACTATTATTGAAAGACGATTATATAGTTGTTGAAATGCAGTATATAACAAGGGTTGTAGGTCAAATCATGTCTTCAGTTTCAAAGCT